AAAAAAAAACATGTAAGAAGCAAAAAGCAAAGACACCCAGACACACAAACTTACAAAAATCTATGTAGCATAGTATATGTAGAGAATATACTATAAAGGGTAAGATCAAACAAAGATATTCCATTAAAAAATACATTATAAAGGATAATATCAAATAAAGTTATTCCATTAAAAAATACACTATAAAAGATAACATTAAACGAAGATATTCCATTATAAAATACACTAAAAAGGATAAGATCAAACAAAAATATTCCATTAAAAAAAAAACACTATAAAGGATAAGATCAAACAAAAACATTCCATTCAAAAAGTGGAAAATTAAAATTATTTGTTGTCTATATCATAAATTTTTTACTTGACATTATATTATATTACAATTATATTAGGAACCTATATTATATTTTGTTATATTATTTCATATCTAATAATATGATATTTTATATAAATAACACAATAACAAAGATCAGAAAAATTCAATAGAGTACAAATATATACTCAACAATAGATTACATATAATGTAGAGATGCCACAAATATTGATTTTGCTGAATACCAAATATTCGGCTTGACTCTCGGTAAAACTATTATGTATATTATAACTAATTAAATATGTTTTAACAAATTATTTAAGCTGTTAATTTTTTTAGTTTTAATTGTTTTGCACATTAGAACTTTAATTACTCTAATTTAATTACTCTAAGAACTTCTCTGAAAAACCACTTTCAAAACAAGCACTCTGAGCAATATGCCAAGTTAACTGGAACTCTGCTGGAAAGAGGGAGCAAAAATGAGGGTTCTCTCATTTATACCAACTCTAAGATATCAGCAATAACAGGTATGTTAAAAAAGAAACAGTTAACTCTGAAAAGACAGCTGAAAAGAAATTGCGTTAGGATAGTATTAATCCAAAATCAATAAAATATAACTACTTAATTGGAGAAATGATTTCCTTAGACAACAAACCATTATCACTTGTTGAATGAGTTGGTTTCAACAAGCTTATGGAAAAGACAGTAGGCAATACAAAATACCTTGACCCACCTATATAACTGAGAAAATTATCCTCGATATATTTAATAGACATTGCACTAAAATTGAAGCTAGTATTTCACAAGCAACAGCTTGACATCTGATATGAGGAAATGTCAGTACAAAAACGAAAGTTTTTTTAGTTTTCATGTGCATTAGATATCTGGATTTTATTTTTGAACATGTTTTAGCAATGAAGCCATTTTCTGGTTCACAAACTAGTACCATTATTGCAAAAGAACTAAATACTATTGCAGAAAGATGGAACATTTCATATTGAAAGATCCATTTTAGTGTCCATAACAGTGGAGCCAATATGAATAAAGGTGTACGAGAATAAGAATAAGATTCTGCCAAGTGTTTTATTTATTTATTTAAACTAGCTGTAAATGTACTGCTAAACTTTAAAATAAAAATAACACAGATGGTCATTGCTGCAAGACAAATCATCACCAATTTTAACCACTCTAGTATAGCACAAGAAAAATTAAAATGCATTCATCAAGAACTTTAACTGCCAAACCACCAATTTATACAAAAGGTAAGCACACGCTGGAACTCAACATACTATTTATTAGGGCAATTTTTAGGGCAAAAGTGAGCTGGCTCATTGTACATAACTGATCACGATTCTTTAAACAATTTAACACCTGCTCAATGGGAGTTGAACGCATGAAAAAAAATTGTTTTTAATCGCCATAATTTTCCAATGATAGATTTTAGGTATTAAATTTGTTTTCAATAAAAAAATTTTGTGAATAATAGAATCAGATATATATATATATATATATATATATATATATATATATATATATATATATATATATATATATATATATATATATATATATATATATATATATATATATATATATATATATATATATATATATATATATATATAAGACTACTCTTTTATGTGCTTTCGTTTAGCACAACTTCACTCTATCACCTTTCTCCTTGTTCTATATCTTTATCCATCAGCCAAAATTGTTGTTGTCGGTGACTTTAATGTTCATCACACTGAATGGCTTGGCTCTAGTGTCAGTGACTCCGCAGGCATTGAGGCCCACAACTTTTGTCTTTCTCAATCCCTAACTCAAATAGTCAACTTTCCAACTCGCTTTCCAGACAACCCGAATAATTTACCTTCTCTACTCGACTTATGACTTGTTTCTAATCCTAGTCAGTGCTCAGTTTCTCCACACTCACCCTTAGGTGCTTCTGATCATGGTTTGGTCTCTCTAAAACTATTATCTCATTCTTCTTTACCATCATACCAATTATTGTACACCTTACAACTAACTTAAAGGTGACTAGGACTCTTTCCATGATTTTCTTCGTGATGGTGCCTGGGTAGAAATCTTTCGTCTTCCTTTTGACAAATGTGCTTCTTACATAACTTCATGGATTCAGGCTGGCATGGAATCCTTTATTCCCTCTTGATGATTCCAGGTCAAGACTCACTCTTCTCCATGGTTTTCCTCACATTGTGCTGCTGCAATTGCTAATCGAAACCATTACTTCCATATCTATCAGCAAAACAATCCTCCCGAAAACAATTGCCTGTTTATTACTGCTAGGAACCATTGTAAAAAGGTTTTGTCTAATGCCAAAGCCTGCTATTCTCAGATCGTGAAATCTCTTATTTCATCAAAAAAAGGCTCTCGTGACTTCTGGAGAATCTTTAATAGTATCAATAATAAGAGCAAGTCTGTAATTCCACCTCTTTTGTACGGTTCAGACTTTGTCACCTCACCTAAAGACAAAGCTGAATTGATTGCCAAGAACTTTTCATCAATATCATCTCTGGATTCCATTAGTTGCGTTCTACCTGATATAGCCATCAAACAGGTTGATCCACTGCTCGACATCCGTATCACTCCAACTTCTGTATCTAAAGTGATTTCCTGCTTAGACTTCTACAGCTTGCAGCCCGGACAACATACCTGTTATAGTCTTGCAGAAGTGTTCTCCGGAGCTGTCCTCTATCCTTTCAAAACTACTTAACAAGTGCTTATCAGGTCTTGTTTTCCAGCCTGCTGGAAAGCAGCATCTGTTATCCCTATTTTTAAAAATTCTGGAGAGCAATCTGATTCCTCTAACTACCGTCCCATTAGTCTTCTTCCTATCATAAGCAAGGTTTTTGAATCTTTAATTAACAAACACTTAATCTCGAATCTCATAACCTACTTTCTGATCATCAATATGGATTTCGATCTTCTCGTTCTACGGTTGATCGCATGGTTTTATCGCGCATTAGACAAAGGTGGACAGGTTAAGGCCATCGCTCTTGACATTTCTAAAGCGTTTGATAAAGTTTGGCATGGTGGTCTTCTCCATATGCTTTCTACTTACGGTGTATCTGGAAACATCTTTAAGATTATTGAATCCTTCCTTTCCAAGCGTAGTATAAAAGTTGTCCTTGATGGACAGCATTCTTCTTCTTATTCTGTAACTTCAGGGGTTCTCCAAGGGTCAATCCTTGGCCCTATACTCTTTTTAATTTATATTAACGATCATCCAGATATTCTCACATCAAAGGTGGCATTGTTCCCTGATGATACTACCATTTATTCCATCATAGATTTTATTTGTATATTCTTATATTTTATTTTAAAAGAGGTTGTATTCTTTATGTAAATGTAGTTTTGTGTATCTGTTTTTTATCGTAACGTCTTTTGATCTTTTGAAGCAATTTTTATGATTTAAACAAAGACTTACAAAAATAATTGCGTTTTCAAAGTTATAATCGTTAAAGTTAATAAAACTAATTATGTAACAAGTTTCTGGTTACTAAACACAAACAACGCATACAAAGTAACTCACGGATGAACAAGCATCGCGCCTGAGGTCACGACAGAACACAAATATATAATAGCAAATAATTAGATATAAAGAAAAGTTTCTACTAACTCTAACTAAAGTTTCTTACTAACTCTAATTATTTTCGCTTAAGTTGCCATTCTTAAAACTCGTTATACTTTTTTCTGCTTTAAATACTAATTAAAATTAAAAAGCCCACTCACTAAACATCATCAGCGATATTGTGAAGCAGTTTCGCTTCCTGGTCATTAAGTATTTTTAACCTTTTTAGTTGATTTCTATCTTGATAATTTAATTCCTATAGTAATTCAATGATTTACTTATTTCATTTGTTTATCTTACTAAGAAGAATCGCTTCAAATATGTTAAACTTTTCTAACTACGCGAAACATAAAATAGGTATTAAAAAAATTAACTTTTTTATTTATAAAATAATTTAGCTTAATTAAAACTAAAACTTGCAAACTTAGTTAAATAAAGAATATTTATTTCCCTTTTAAACAATCGTACGTTGTTACAAAAAACATCGCTTAATTTTATTAAAAAAATTATAAAAAAGCGATGTTTCGAAAATATTTTTAAATGTATTTATTTAGCTTAAAGTTTTTTCGCGTTTAAAGATATTTTATTTGCCTACTTTTCTTTTTTTTGTAATTGTCTCTCATCGGTCCAATTATTCTTTGTCGCTTTTTTTTGTTTGCTTTTTAAAATGTTCTCAAAACGATTAAAAAATCTGGCCAGCTTTTCGCAACTAAATATTATTTACGTGGTCAGCAATCGAGAGCGATCGCTCCCGCTTCCCGACCAAGCCTGTATATATATATATATATATATATATATATATATATATATATATATATATATATATATATATATATATATATATATATATATATAAATATGTATTATTTAATTAATCTGTTTATTGTATTATTTATAGTAATACAATCAATTTCTAATGCGATTTTTTTCATGTTTCAGTATTCGGGCAAACAGTTTGCAATATTTGGCCGAATACTGGATAGTATAAAATGTTGTTGAATAAACAGAATACAAAATAGTTGCTGAATATTTGTGGCATCTCGAATATAATAAACTCAACCAGTAAAATTTAGGTTCATTTACAGGTTTGTTAACCAATACCTTATAATCTTTAAATTCTTTCAGTAAAGGAGGACCAGCATTTATGGTATTCTAAAAATTACATAATTCGAAATACTTAAATAAATCTCCACTAAGCAAAAAAAAAAAAAAAAAATTCAAAATAAATGCTTTTTTGAAGAAAATAATCAAATAAAAAATTAAACTTATATAAAAACAACTAAACAAAAAATAAAATCAACCTTTGCTAATTGAATCATTTTGTTAATCCTTGTTTGTTCATTTGAAGGTTCATTATAAATCTCACTAGCAGCTTTAGACAAAAACATTTCTTGCAA